TTCAGGATCTGTCCTTCCAGTGAGCACTCAGGGTTGATTTCCTTTAAAATGGATAGGTTTGTTCTCCTTGCAGTCCACAGAAATCTCAAGAGTCTCCTCCAGCACCTCAGTTCAAAGGCATCAATTCTTCAGCAGTCAGCCTTCTTTATGGTCCCGCTCTCACTTACACATTGCTACTGGAAAAATGCTTTGACTATGGGGACCTTTGTTGGCAAGGTGATGTCTCTGCTTTTTAAGATGTTTTCTAGGTTTGTCATCACTTTCCCCCCAAGAAGCAGGCGTCTTTTAATTTCGTGGCTGCTGTCACCATCTGCAGTGATCATGGAGCTCAGGAAAGTAAAATCCGTCACTACCTCCATACCTTCCCCTTCTGTTTACCAGGAGGTGATGGGACCAGTGGCCATGATCTTAGTTTTGTTTTTGGTTTTTTTGATGTTGATAAATATTCAGTTATTTATCCTTGAGCTCAACATCAAAAGCCCTGGAAAGCCCTAAAGAAGTATTTTTCAATACTTAGCTATAATTAATCTAGCAGCTGGGACTAAATTAGAAATTAATTCTATACTGTAGTTGCCCAATTATATTCCACGTTATCAAATATTGATAGAAGTGCTATTTTAGGACATCTAGATTTTGTTTGGTTATTTCTCTTATTTCTCCAAATACTATTTGCCAAAATTTCAACACACTATCGCATTCCTACCACATATGAAAATATGTGCCAGTTTTCTGGTATTCCCTCCAGCACAACATAGAGTAATTTTCATTTATTTGCTTTAGTTTCACTTGAGTTAGATACCATCGCCAAACAATCTTGTAAAAATTCTCTTTAATTCTTATAGACATTGATTTCACTGTTCTTACATCCCATATTTTCTTCCATCTCTCAGTGTTTATCACTTCCCTCATATCATGTTCCTATGAAGCTCTCAGATGATCCTATTTATCCTCTGCTTCAATTAGTATTTTGTAAATTTTACTTACTATATCTTTCAATGCCTTATTTTCTCCTAATTTTTCCTTTTGTAATGACATTTCCTCTGCTTTATCTTCTGCTAATTTTTCCTTTTGTAATGACATTTCCTCAAATTTTGGAACTTCCCAATACTGTATTTACCATTTTTCCTCAACCAGTCTTTTCCCCAACTTTCTAATTGCAACACAATGAACCATGTTTTTTTTTTAATTTGCTCTTTACTCCCCATCCTTTGGAAGGCCTGTGATTGTATCTTAGATGTAAAAGCAGCCTATCCATGGTTAAAGAATACTGACCAGCTGTGGCCAAGGTTAGCAAGTCCTGTCCAAGGTTAGCATGATGACTCAGCTAGTCCTGAGTCATCTGCCTTAATAGAAGCTGTAGAACACTTTAGTGAGAGATCTGCTTCTGCCTGGTCCTAAAGATAATGAAAGCTTTGCTTCACTTCTCTCAAAAATCTGTCCTGTGGAATCAAGAATTTCCAAAGACCTGCTGGAAGAGAGGAATAATAATACCCCCCCTCCCCAAGGAAAGAGAAGAAAGTGTGGAGAGCAAAGTATCTCAGCCTCCAGAGTACAATTGGACTCAACATCTTGATGACATTAATGGCACTCTCAGTGCCACAATCCTAAGAGAAAAATGCAGCCAAAAAAGCAAGATGCAGAAAGTGCTGTTAGGCTTGTGCTTTAAAAGGGTCAAAAGACTCATAGCTACAAAGAAGAGACAGAATGCAGCAAATGGGAGAAATCTGAAGCAAAGAATTGCAAGCAAACCTTGCCCATTAAAATGCTGAGTCAATTGCTCTCCTCTGAAGTGAGAGCTTTTGAATTGTGCCTATTGTCAGTTTATAGACGGTTCCTATGGAGTTATCCTGGCGATCTCAAGTCATGTCAAAAGCTGGAATGGGAAGGGAGAGAAATTAACAGAGTAAACCAAGCCAGCACATCTTTAAAGAATGTTCATTTGCCTGAGATCAAGCCAGTAGGTGTTGGTATAGTTAAAAAGAAATTGCAAATGAGCCAGCACACGGAGAGAGTAAAGCAAAGGCGAACAGAAGGAACTGAAAATTCTGTAGGGCAAAGACTGCGCTATGTTTATCTGTTAGGTATCCAAGGTCTTCTTCAAATGCAGTCTGCAGCATTTAAGGTAAAGGTAAAGGTTCCCCTTGACAATTTGTCCAGTCCTGTCTGACTCTAGGGGGCGGTGCTCATCTCCGTTTCCAACCCATA